GCGAAATAAAAAAAAAAGCAAGCACTTTTGCATTAAAATTTGATATTTATTGAGATCAGTTTAGCCAGTCTTTTTCGTGCACCCAATATATAGCTGATTGTTATATAATTTCTTGGTGTAAAGTATGGAATTTCAATGTTAAGTACCTGTCTGCTTGTTTGCTCGCGTGTCGCGTAATGTCATTGTTTATCATCGTTATTAAAACTAACAAAACGGTGACGTATTATTTAGATTTTAGATATCTATATTTGTAATATTCGTTAATCAACTTATGGCTAAGTAATTTATGATATGTAAATATTCCTAGCCGTTTAATAGAATTTGGGATGAAGTTTAGTATAAGGGACGCCATAGTAAAAATATTTTTAAAAAATTTTACTATGGTGTCTTTTATACTAAACTTCATCCGTTTAATCTACTGAAGCTACCGTAAAGGTTCATATACAAGATCCGGGTCTCTTACGTTCCACCAAAAAAAATTAATTAGTAAAAAAAAAAGAAAATAATTAGTAAAAAATGAGGGTGGTCAAAAATTTCTGTATGCTGAATCTAAACCAGACATTTCAAGAATTTGTAGAATGAGACTTGAAAGGCTTTCATTTTGCTCTCTAAATGCCGAATAGTACATATATCATATTGGATTATACTATAACGATAACAAATAGACCAATTTACAACTTTAACAAGGAAGCGCATCGATTTGCCATTTAATGTCGCACTCTAATGATACTTTCAAAAGTTATTAATAAAGACGACAAAAGTTGATACTACAAATTATGTGAGAAACTTGTTTGAGCCTATTCTATTATTTCATCTAAATCTTCTGTGTATAGGTAACTTCACTTCATAAAGATTAATCAATAATACATTTTATTAAAAGGGCCTTCCATACTGCAAGAGCTCCTTCCGTTGGATATTTTAGATATTTACATGAAAACAATGTGATATCACATTGATTTGTAAACAGAATTGACGCTGCTTCTGAAAAAAAAAAAGAAATACTTGTAAATGGTTGTATATACGTAATCTATTTTCTTTATTAACATATTGGTAACTGAATATATTATTATACCATTAGAATAGTTCAACCATTCTAATTGCAGCTCTGGCTTAAGCATTTTCGATTACTATTATCTCACATATCATAATTAACCCCCAACTTGCTTAATCAATTTGACTATATTTGTATCAAACAATTCACTACGAATTGGCATTTCTGGTGTATAAAAAGGATTTTTCATAACGTAATCACTATAAACATCGTAAGTACGTCGAAGTACAAGATCAATATTTGGATGTGTTGGATCAGCAATAATCAGAAATTTTGTTCCTATCATTAAAAAAAGAAATGTTAACAGAATAAATGAGAATAAATGTACAAGAAAAGAAATACCAACCTGTTAATGTTTGAAAACAATACAATTTAAAAGAATCCGCTTCCAAAACCTCTAAGCCGGAAGAAGTTGAGTTTCTGACCGGTGAAATTTTGGAAGTAATAGCGTGCACGCTTCATAAAAAGTATATATTTTTAAAATATACACAAAAAGTTGTTATTAAACCAAAATTCAAAATTCAATTCTTTGTACAAGATTAATTATAGCATTAAATAATTGTTTGTATTTCGGCATCATTCTTCAGCTATAAAAATTCATTCCATTAATATTTACCCGTGAAAAGTACCAGCTAAAACCAAATATTCATTAGCAGTTAAATGTGCTAACCCTTCATTAAAATCTTTTTGATACATAAGGCCACCCGCTTTGCTAATTATGTAAAGTGAATAAATCATTTTAAAAACAGAAAAAAAGTGAGCGAAAAAGACTGGCTAAACTGATCTCAATAAATATCAAATTTTAATGCAAAAGTGCTTGCTTTTTTTTTTATTTCGC